GAGAGAGAGAGAGAGAGAGAGAGAGAGAGAGAGAGAGAGAGAGAGAACGACCGGCCAGACAGACACAGGTCGACCTGATCGACGGGCAAAAAGCACGGGGGGATTGACAGACATATTTTCTCTTCCATTTCTCCATGTATCACCTTTTTACGTGAGGAACATTTGAAGAGGGTCATACTTTCACGTGCATTTCAGAGTTTGTTGTTCATTGCAGCCATTGAACATGTGATTAACAACGTCTGAATTTTATGTTCAGCACCACTTCTGTCGATTTTCATTTTGGTTTGGGCATTACTTGCACTACGGGGAACACTAGTTTTGGATACCCACCTAAAACGTGCCAAAAGGCTTTCTAGCCGGTCCCACTCTCTTGTGGGCTTCGGTCACACCCTTGCAAGAAACCTGGCCGACAAATGGTAGGATGCCATGATGTGGCTCTGAATCAATCATGTATGTGTTCTGCCGTATGTTAAGCTATGAATGAACTGTGCGTACGCTTCTCTATCATATGGGTTGTGCAACCTGTTGTTTCTTTTCAGTCCTGTTCTGCCGTATGTTAAGCTATGAATGAACTGTGCGTATGCTTCTCTATCATATGGGTTGTGCAACCTGTTGTTTCTTTTCAGTCCTTTCAGTCACTGTGGGCTTACGGGGGCTGTCTGTGGAATGTGGTGTACAAGACGTTACTTTTGCGGGTTCTCAATGCGGGGATGATCGGACCAACTTTTCCAGCATGGCTTGTTGAATTCTCTGTCCAAGTTTTCCTTTTTTTTCCTTGTAAAAGGACTGCTGCCTTGTGATATCACCTTTGAACTGATCGGCCCCAGGTAAATTCAGACTTGTTTTCAACTTTTCACTCATCTGATTCCATTGGAATTTGAACTCAGGTCTGTATTTCAACAGTTCATTGGTGTACTAACTGAGCTAGGCCAGTTGGTCAGTCCAGATTTTGGGGGGACAGGTTTACTTGGAAATGTGGTGTACAAGACGTTACCTTTGTTGCCTCTTTTTTTTTTGGGTAGCTTCTCGATGCCGGGATGATCTGGAAAACGTTTCCAGCTCGGTTTGCTAAATTCTGGAGAAATTTTCAGCAGACAGGTCTGAACCTTGCAGTTCTGTCTTCTCGTCAGGCTTTTCGCACAAGAGAAGCGGATGTCCATCCCTGCTGGAGGTTGTGCTACAGACATTCACACCCTGTGGTGATGAAATCTCTCTGTTGAACCGTGCTTTCCTTTGTGAGGATTGTGAAAATTGTGAAAACTCTTGTGCAACTTGTTTTCTGTCAGTGCCCCCAATTCACGTTAGTAGTGGCAATGCGGTTGTTTGCTGTTGATGGTTGCAGCAATTCCCCCATGTCTTTGCACCAGAACGAGCAGCAGCTACAACTGCAGCAGCAGACTGCTGGCCAACAGCCAGTTGGGTCGACGGAAGATGCTCGGCAACGTGGCTGGGAATATGTGAATGAGCGGGAGAGAGCAAGACAATGTGATGGGGCCGAGATGATGAAGATGGACGACCACCACGAGGATGAAGTCAGAAGTACGACAGGAAGTTTTGGTGGTGCCGACCTTCGTGGTCAGGGTGTCAGAGGAGGCTGGGGTACAGCGGAGGAAACAATGAGTGGTGAGGACTCATCAAACAGGGAGAGGACCGGAATAGGTGTTGTTTCTGGAGGAACAAGTGGGATTACTATACCCTCTGGAGATGAAGGCAACTCTTCAGGTAGAATGAGCTGCGGGCCACACGGTTTGGATATGGGATGCAGCCATGCAGCTGCCTCAGATGATGGTGCCTGTGGGCAGGAGTCAGTGATGACATGGGTTGGGGCTGGAAGTGGTGGGTGCCAAAATCTGACCCAGCAGGGTAGCCACATCGTGTCTCCAGTGTCGCACAAAGTGCATGTTGATCATGGCACGCCATCTTCAGTTGGCCTGTCTCCAGCGTCGATGAGACCCATTTTGCCTGCGACACTTGCACCATTGCCGCTCCCAAAATCTTCCAGGGCTGCTGTTCAGAATACAATGGTTAGTCGTGTTGGGGGTGGAGGCGGAACAGCCGCGGGCACAGGGTTCATCTCTCATCCTTTGCAACCACTGGTTGTTTCTGCAATGGAGCAGATGTCATCAGTATCAACTGCAGCCGTGGCTGCAGCTGCTGCTGCAGTGAAAGCGGCACTAGCGTCCCCAATGCCCAGCCCATCATATTTCCAGGGGGGTACGGCCAAGTATGCCCTTGCTAGCTTACCCAGCGTCTCTGTCGGCCATTCGTGTGAAGTGGCTGTTCAAAGACATGGGGCGGGGCAGATGCAGGCAGTTCCTCCTGGGATGATGACCAGTCAACAAATGGAGGAGCAGGCTCAGCCTCCTCTACCTCCTCCCCTGCCCCCAAGTTCAGCGCCTCCCCCTCCACCGCCTCCACCACCACCACCTCCCCTGGAACCACCACCACCTCTTCCTCCTCCTCCACCACTTCCACCTCAACAGCCACCCCCTCCACCACCACCTTCATCACCCCCTCCACCCCCTCCTCCTCCAGATGGTTTGCCAGAGGATGTCAGCTTCCCTCCTCCTCCTCCTCCTAAACTGTCAGCGAACTCCCACGCAGCAACTGATGAAGTAGGAGAAGTTCTGAGACCTACAAGACCAAGCTTGATTACTCAGTGGCAAGGACCTCTGTGCAAGAGCGGAATGCAGTACTGTCAGATAATAGCCTATCGGGAGCAGGCTGACGGAAGCCGATATGAGGGAGGAGTTGGCGAGCCGGCAGGGTAAGAGCGCCATGGTCACACAATCCGCATACCTACAACTGTGAAATTTATTTCTGCTAGCATGCACTCTACCTGTCCCCACAAAAATGGTGTTGCTTTCTTTTCTCATTGTACTGCTAGAAGCCTGGTGATGGAAACCGACTTGCTCTTGTGTACCTCATAATGACCAGAACAGAATTGCTTAAACCACCAGTACTTGGCCCAGCTATCATTGCCGAGCCTGGAATCCCCTGCGCGCCAATTTTTGCCGAAGTGCCAGGGTACCGTTTCAATTTTTTTTGGCTGGCGTTTCCAGCCATTGAGGTCCGGTACCCTGAAGCCCGAACTTTGCGTAGCGTTAACGGCAACGGCCCGCGGCCGATGCATGGGCCAAGTACTGGTGGTTTAATGCAAGAGCCCTACACATCATATGTGTACTAGATCTTTGTCAGCATTCCATCGTGTCTAGCATTGAGGAGAGAGAGTACTGCTGATGACTCCTAGTGGCAGTCTTCAAAGCAGTCCATCAGCTGTGTTCCATCTACACACTGCATCTCCTGGGGGGCATCTCTTGGAGAGGGGGATTCCTCTGTAAGCTACCATCCTATTGTTTTGCTCGAATTGATTTGCATGCACAAAGCTGACAAAAAAGCATGCATGGGTTTACTTAAGGGCCTGAAATGAGGAGTCTGATGCCCATATTAGTATTGTAAGGGCATCTGTGGAAAGGAGTACTGTAGGCAAGTCTATTAGTTGATGTTAGGATCCTGGCGAACTCCGAAGTGCAAATTCACAAGCAAGTACAGTGTCGTCCAATTGCAAAAATAAATGAATGAAGTCAAGAGGAGAGAGAGGTAAAGAAGAAGAAGAAGAAAGATAGAAGAAGAAGATGCACACCAGCAAAAGACCAATGACAATTTCCCGTTCTTCGCCAACCAACTCCTCCTTTTCTCCTCCCCTCATATTCAAACAAGAAATAATAATAATGTCGATGAATGGCTGAACCAGAATCAATGTCCGAATCCCTCTTCTACTGGCAGTACAACAAGAGGTCCACCATAGCCATGCTTCTTGATACCGCGCTACCCCAACTGGGGCCTTCCAGATGCAACGCCTACAAGGTGATGGGAGACGGTGTCCACCATAGCCAGGTAAGTACCCCTGGCGCTCCCCTCTCCCAGTCCCCTTCTTCCTCCTCCTACCCGAGCCCGCCCACCATAGCCGAAGGGGAGGACTGGGCACCTCTTCCCCACAGCGCTGCACACTAGCGCTCCTCCAGGCGCTCCAGCAGCACGACGCCCAAACTTGCATGCAGCAAATGAGGAAGAGCTCAACGCTCGTCCTGGAGATATAGCGGCCAACCTGCTGCTTGGGAAGTGACTTCCAGGCCGTGCGGCCTCCAAGCAACCAGTGCCTCCTCCCTTTCGGAGGGTAACACCATTGCAGACTCTGATATTATCCGCACAGGCCCTGGACTCGGACTACTTGGACCGGTACCCGCCTAGACCAAGCCTACCGCTACTGGGCCTCTAAAAATACTAACTTTTTGTCTCTTCTGCTCGGCCAACTTCTACTCAAGTTCCTACGGGCCTACACTACCACTACTTGAGTGTGCCCTAAGCTACCCCTTTGGCCACTCGAGTGTTTTTCTCCGCTGCAACCCCGAAGACACTGCCACACGGGCCTCCTGAACAAACAAGTGTCCTGGCGGGCCACACACACACTCAGGGCGACAAGCACTCAGACAGGCACTCAGACCAGCAAACACGCACCCACAGACTTAGAAAAGTCAGCAAAAAACGGGAATCTCGGCAAGGCATACATTCCTGCGACAAAACTCAGAAATCAGCTGTGTTCTCAGTCCGTGTTTTGGCAGGTCCTTACAGCTGAGCTCTGTTGTCTGGAATGCTATTCGCTTTTTAGAAAGTAGGCCATGGCTTCCATGACGAATAAGGTTTCCATGATGAATAAGAAACTAGGTGTGGCAAAGGGTCCCCCTTGTCTATCGGACTGTGTCATTTTGCGGAGGTTAGAGAAGAAGCCGTTTATTTGCCCTAGCCCTGGGTGCCGGTGTACAGGACCCGTACCCATTTCTTGAAGTTGGGATTGACCAACATCTTCGCCATCTTCTCCAGCTTCCCCATCTTCTCCATCTACTCTATCTACTCCATCTACTCCATCTCCTCCATCTCCATCTTCTCCATCGTCTCTATCTTCTCCATCTTCTCCATCTTCTCCATCTTTTCCATCTTCTCCATCTTCTCCACCTAAAGCTGAAGGATGTGCCTATTTACTTGGTTATATGCTTTCCTCCCCCCCCGAACCACATAAGAGTATGGATGCATTGATCTTTCCTTCGCTGACCTTCTTGGAACGAAAACCTGTCTGGTCTAAATGGAACCATGTCCTTATGTGCGATTGTTTTTGGTAGAAGCTTGGATAATAGACGATGACGCCGCCGCCGCCGAAGAAGAAGAAGAAGAAGAAGAAGAAGAATGACAACAGCGATGACGGTGACGACAATGACGATGCCGCCGCCGCCGCCGCCGCTGCCGACGACGACGACGAAGAAGAAGAAGAAGAAGATGATGACGAAGAAGATGATGATGATAGTAGTAGTAGTAGTAGTAGTAGGAGGAGGAGGAGGAGGACGCGGAGGAGGAGGATAGAAGGAGAAGAAGAGGCTCCTGCATCATTGTCGATCTGTTTCGTCAAGTGGCTGAAAGTCTGTCTCATTCTTGTTTGATTTGTTGATCTCTTTGGCATCACAGATTCCGAGATTCAGATATCGTGTCTCAGAATTTGTTGTTAACCATTAAGCTGCTGCACTTCAAAATGTCCTCTCCTGTCTGATCGTTGTTTGTAGGACCTCCTGGAATCACTTGGAATGACATCTCTGTGCTGGTTTGCAATGTTGTTTGCTATGTCTTCTCCTTCGAGTCTTGGCTTTGTGCTCGCTTTGCAGGTGGCCGGATAAACTTGATGTGACTAAGCGAGCTGATTTCAAGTCACTCAAGGCAATTTTCTCTCAAACTCCTCATTCAAAGGTGAGGGCTTGGCACCACCTTAATTTTTATGTTCTAGCATTTTCAAGTCTATGTATGCGTGCATGGCATCAGTTGTTTCATGTTCTTATTCTTAATGTTCTAGCATTGTCAAGTCTATGTATGCGTGCATGACATCAGTTGTTTCATGTTTTTATTCTTTCAAGATACCACAGAAGCAGTTGTCGAGGAAGGGAGAAAGATGCATGCTGACAGAGTGCATTCATGTATTTTCCTTTTATTGACCTGAGTTCACAACCATCAGAGCCGAAAGCCATGACTTTGACCTTTTTGAGGGTGAATTATGCTTTTGGTCAGTGCAAAGAAAAGCCAAAACCAATTCCAAAGAATCAAGGATGCATTATGGTCAAATGTGTTCGGCCACGTTTACATGCCTTGCATTACATCTATGTAGCAACAGTCGTGTGGACAGGGCCTCTGTTTCTTTTCTCCGTCTACCTCAACCTGTCGCCTTGTATCTTGTTATTAGTCATGCTTGCTGGTGTTGAGTAACGGGACTGCCGTCCCCCCATAACAGATAGGGTACTCCTTGGAAAGGAAAAAAAGGGGACACTCCTTTGGGATATCAGTTAAAATTGGAACAATACAAATAAGATTAGCATGGCCCCTGTGCAAGGATGACACATAAATTGAGAAATGGTCCAATTTTCTTTTCAAAAGATAAAGAAGGGACATGGTATCTTGCAGGTATGCGAGGGTGGCCGCAGAAAGAAGTAGGAGCATGTGGTCACCGGTTGGGACCTGAAAAGTGGTTGTTGAGGTCATGTTTCCTTCCGGGTGCTGTGGACTTCTGGGGTCTTTTGATTCACAGATGCAACCCATACACGCATCTGTCTGATTTGTGAATTATGAGACAGTTTTCAGATTCTCTGTTTTGTATTGCTTGTCCTCCCCGTTGTGAACTAGGTTACCAGGCTATTGACTGCTGAGACCACCCGACTGGCACGCTGAGGTAGACCACCTTGCATTCTCCAGCCTGTCAAATTTGCAGCCTTAAGGCTGCGGTATTGTAGGCTTCGGCATCCATGTCAAGGTGTCGCATTTTTGGCGGCGGGCGACCAGCGAACAAGTGGGTTCTTTCGGGGTAAGAATGGTCCTTCGCAATTTTGCGGAGGACCGACAGCTAGCTCTTCTAGAGATGGCGCGGTAGTCAATTCGGAGAACTGGTAGTTGGGCGCAGTCCTTTGAAAAGGCCACCCTAACAGTTGTTAGTAGGCCCCTGCACAAAAGGGGTACCAGCAGGTCCAGTCCCGCAATTTGCAAGACGCAACTTTGGCGAATTTTGTGCTCAGAAAAAATTGACAAAAATTCTGAAAATTTGAGAATCTGTAGATTAGGTTGTGGTCTTTCCAGGAAAAATATCAGAAAAAAATTAAAATAAATAAAATAAAATAACTGAGACTGCAAAACAATCGCCGCGCTGATTCGGTGTATGTTGCCTTTTTGCTACTCAGCCATGTGTGGGCCAACAGGAAATGTCCTTGCAACTTCAGCGACCTTTCGCACTCAAGAGGAATGCATGAAAAAATCTGAAAATTGGAGTGCTCGCAGATTTTTTTGTGATCTTCCAGGAAAAATATTAAACAAAAAATAATAATAAATTTCAACCGCGAAAGAGAAGATTGTGGTGACAATTTGACCGATTTTCCATTTTTGCCATGCAGCCCCTCTCTCTTGGCCCCATTGCTTTTGCTCATTGGGCCAGCCTGACAATTTATAGCCCTAAGGCTGTGGTATGGTGGGTTCGAGCATCTGTGTTTGCAGCCGAAGGCTGCGCCAAAAGGAACACATCAGCCTCCCCCACGCCCTCTCTCTCTTTGTCACGGGGCCCGGGTACCGATCCCCCGCCCGGGAGAGCGCCCGGGTGCCCGGCCGGGCGTGAAGCCCAGGAGGGGTTCCGGGCGCGTTTAGTCCCAACTGTGAAAACACCCAAACTGCCCCAATTTTGAGCCGGAGGGGGCAGTGGGGGCTCTGTGCGGTCCTCAGACCCTGAATAAAACTTATGAGGATGTCCCACGAGCTCCATGCTTAAAAAAACAAAGGGTGATTTCGGGCTGTCGATCTGCAGCTGTGAGGCTCAAGGCCTTGATATGCCCTACTGGGCCCTATTTTCAGTACAGTCGGCCGCCCTAAGTGAAGGCAGCCTCGACCAAGGCCTACAGGCCCATTTTTGGGGCCACCACTCGACTGGGGAAAATTCGGGCAGTTGCACAGCGCCAGTTGGTTGAGAGCGCCCAGGCCCAGGCTGCCTTTTTCGTATGTAACTGAGGCAGGCCCTGGGCCAGAGACGCAACATGGGCCGAACACAGGCTGCGGGCAGTTGGGCACGGGTAACCACCACAGGCCTGGGCCTGATTCGTTCGGACTGGGGCTCAGCCTCACGGGGCCTACCGGAAGCTTCTGGAACGAGGCCCAATGCAGGCAGGCCGCACACAGCAGGCAGGTCACTTCCATTTAGGAAAGTGCCTGCCCCAGCACTCCTCATTCGGGCACTGGCTGCATGCTGCGCAAGCGCTGCTGCGCTAGACGCTGGCCAGCGCTCACGCGCTCACGCGCTCACGGGCGAGTTGGATGAGCAGGCAGCCATAGCCGAGCTGTGCTGCTGTATGCTGGATGGGGTGCATGGTGGTCCTTGGGTGCACGGGGCATCTGTGAGGCAGCCATAGCCATACCTGGTGCTTGAGGCGACGGCATTGACCGAGATCTGCTCGTACTTCGGGGAGCTGTTGATGTCACCAGCGGCATTGTAGATAGGCTAGATAGGATCTGCCACTTGTAGTTTGGGCGCAGAGCGCCAGATAGGATGTCGACATTGGTTCTTTGTTGATCATGATGAGACTATTCGAACATTGTTACTTATGAGCTTTTGCTGTGCTCTTATTTGGTGGGACTCATGTTGCGATTCTACTTTTGGTTCGAGGTCACGACTATCTGGTCTCATGTGTATGATGCTGCTTGGTTTCTGAAGTTCGCTATCGCTCATGTTCCTTGCAATTTGGTATCGGAGCTGTGGTACGGTGCGCTAATCTGGCGCCTGTCTTCTGCCTATGCGGTACATGCACGCGGTCTGCTGGGCGAGCGTCTGTGGGAGGTGTGTAGTGAGGAGGGCGAAGGCAAGTAGGGCGACCCAGGAGGTGAGGGGTATCGCCAGTAAGGCTACGTATTGGGTGTTCGCAGTGTGATGAAAACTATCTGATGTGCGATTGATGCTGAGGTGGAACGGCGGAGTAATGCTTGTTGTGCAGAAGCAGCGATTGGTCATCACAGTCGGCATCAGGTCATCTGGTGAGAATATTTGTGGTTGGGGGCAGCTATTTTGAGGTACGTTGTTCTTAACCTTATCTACCCTCTTCGACACTTCTTACTGTGAGGATGTGTGTTCTGTCTTGAGAGTCCTGTCATGTGAGGAGTCGAGTGCACTCAACCTTGAGAGTCGGCATTGTTCACGTGGAGCATCTGGAAGGAGAGGGCGGAGCTATTTGAAGGGCCCTGGACGAAGCACTGGGTCACGGCCACCATGCCAACCCACCGGGAGTAGAGCATGCATGCTTTGCTTCTTTGTCCTTTGTCTGCCTGCTGCACTATAGACGGGTTCTGAGGGGCAGGCCAGCCCTACAGGAAAGACGAGTACCGGACGTCTATAAATAAGTACCGGCGGGGACCTTCCATTGGCTGTGATCGTTGTCCTGTCTGCGATGTTAAATAATTCCTGAGGACTTTGGGGGCCGTCCTAAAACGCCTCTTGATCAGCCAATCGGTCGGTGTAAGGCTTGCAGCACGCGAGGGTAAACATTGTGCAGGGCTGGCCAGCTCAGCAGGACTGTGGGCACAGGGGTGGGCCGTGTGCACACCTTTAGACACACACACCGTTCTGGATTGCTCAGGGACACTGAGGTCAAGTGATTATCATGAAACAGTTTTCACCTTTGGCAGTAGCCGATGCAGATCCCAGGGGTCGATCCCTTGACCTCAGCTTACCTGTGTACAGTATCTGCACAGTTCCC